TTACAATTGGATGAAACCAGAAATGTATAGCACTTTCTACAACACCTGGCTCCTTAATCCCTGCCCTTCTTTCTCCTTACTCCTTTCTCTCCTGTACAGCAGATGGGTTTGGTGTGTTTTCTTTTTTCTACTTGTCCTCAAAGGATCTCATTTGTCCTAAGTTTTGTGCCAAGCTATTGTCCTATGATCTCTGTTTACAATCTGTCCTCACCTTGTACCCAACTCACAAGCCCTTGGCACCTCCTCACTTTCTTCAAAAAGGAAAAAAAAAAAAATCCCAGCCATGCCAAATATATTAGAGAGAAACAGAATGTTTCCTGAATCTTCCAAAAAGAAAATGCAGAAGGGTTTGCATTTTCTTCTCCCCACCCACCAGCAATTTGCTCCAGACTTCTGCCCCCCAGGGGATCTTAAGTCCCCTCTGGTATAGCCAACAGCTCTCCTCCCTGTGCTCCCACAGAGTCTACAGCTGGCCTTTATTATGCTCCTTTTTGTGGGGTTTTTGCTAACACTCGAAACACTTATTAAAGTGAGTCTTTCCAACAAATGCAATTCTCTAGTGAGAGGAGGTCTAATTAGGAAAAAAAAAATTATGTTATTATAGCAGGAAAGCAGGCAAGTAGATGGTGTATTTAATACAAAACAGCTTCCTTGTGCTTAGTAGGAAAAGTATTTCTACCAGTAATATGTGGATCTGGAGCTCTTCTAGCTTTTAGGGTCTAACTAATTGTGTAAATTTCATTTGTTTCATTTGAAACCTGGCTGTCATTTCTTGTCAGGAGAAAAACAAGAGATCCTCTGACTACACATTCATCCCCTGATCACCTGTCAGCCTCACAGGAACAAGCATCTTGCAATTTGTCCCTGCCCAGGCACTTCATCTTCAAACAGAAACTGTATCTTAATTATAGCCTTTAATGGGCTGTTTCACTCCAGGATCAATATGTCTGACAAAAACCAAGCTCTGCTAAAAGCTCATTAATTCACATCTGACTAATTCAGGATTTGTGATGATTTTGGCAGGGACCAACCTAAAGTTTACCTCTTGTACTGCTGCTTGCAAAGGTCTAGCTTGGCCAATTAATTGGGAAGAACAGAGTTGCCAGGGAAGTATTTACAGCGTATCTATGTGCATGGAGATAACAGGCTGATTGTAGCTTCTCCACTGCTCAGTTACTACTAGGCAACCCCAGTTAACCACTGTTTTGTATTAGCATCATGGACTTGCAAACTGCAAAGTGCACCACCTTTAAAAGTGTCTCCAGATCCACTAATTTTATTGCTTTGGGGTTGAGGCCTTTGATATATCGCATCACATCACTCACCCCACCTCTGATTTTAGCCACAACTCCAGTGGACATTTCCACATGAGGTCAAATTCAGCTCTGCAGGCAGTCTGGTCTCCGGCATGGGCTGTACAGGTCTCCTTGCCATTCTGCTCAGGGCTTCCTCTGAATCTACAGGAAGAACAGGCTAGAAGCGTAGGTGGCTAATGCCTGCAGAGACTAATGCTCCACCAGTGGGAAGTAGTGGATACACTGATGGACACTTTAGGAGGCATTCCATTGGCTTCTCAGAAGTCCTGGCAGAAGTGAGCCCCTGTGGCTCACAGCTGTGACCTTGATCATGTACACTTGTATTGGCTTTTCCTGCTTTCCTGTCTTACTCTCCCTGCTCTATGGCTCATTTTTCCAGATAAACTACCTGCCCCCCAGTCTGCTTTTGGGGAAACCCAAACTAAGACACCCACTCCTACAAAATTATGTATGAAAGTATGCATGTATTTGAAATGTTTGCTCATTCCTTAATCCACTCATTCCTTGGTAAGTATATTTCTTCCTTGTGCTTCCTGGGTTTGGGATAGTCCTTTGGCAATAACGTTGAGCAGGCAATGAGTATCTTCTTTTTTCTTATTTGCACTTACAAAACTCTTTTTCTTCTCCCTGATGTCCTTTTCTTGGGTTATCATAGTCCCTTCTGCAGCCATCTATCCAGTTCTGATCTATCCCTGGTGCCATTCCTCTGCCTCATCTTTTTCCTCAAAATCAGCGTAACTTATCCCCTTCCTACTTTGTCTTCTGCTCAGTGTTCTGTTTCTTAGTAACATAACCCCTACTAATTAATAGGGTAGATAAATCTGGTCAGAAGAGCTCATGTGTTTTTATATTACTCTGAGAAGGTAATAAGTATGTGGTTTACCAGGACCTTCTAAGCAATTGGGGCCTTTCCATTATTACTCAAGCCATGCAGATGTGCCAAATGCTGTTGTCTTCTTGAACTTCAGTTGTTGTCCTCTGAATTCTGTGGATCTTCCTTCTTCATCTTTTTGGTCTTCATCTCTTCTTCTTCCCATTATCTAACTCCTTGTTACTCACTGTGATCCAGTGACCAGTAGCATCTGTTATACCTGGAAGTCTTCTATTAATGTAGAATTGCAGCGGCCACACCACATCTACCGAATCACAGAATCTGCATTTTTAAAAGACCCCCCCCGGGGATTCAGAGGCACATTAAAGTTTAATAAATATGGTGACTGATGGTGGTTTCCTAGGCTTCTAGACCTGTTCTTTTCCTCATCTTCCATACTCTCCCAGGCAATGTCTCTGCCTTCCTGGCACCAGTAACAGTCAATAAACTGATAACTATAACAACTGATTTCCAACTCAGATCTCCATTCCAAGCTCCTGCTTGTTTGTGCAACTGTTCAGTTGACCACTGGATGTCTGCATCTGGGTATCTCACAGGGGACCCCATCTCAAGATATGGAAGGGTGGTTGCTCCAGTGAAGCTGCTGTTGATGGGCTAGCCTGGATATCTATATCAATTGGGACCAATTTAAAATTAGTCCAGGTGGTTAATTGTTGCTGTAGTAAAAGCAAGCAAGCAAGCAAACAAACAAAAAACAAAACAAAACCAATCAGTTTTGTCCTCTCTTGAATTTGTCCTTTGTCCTTTCTTGAAGGAGTCTAGGAACATTTTATTCTCAAAAATTAATGACTTTTCAAACTCTTAGTTCCATCCCCCCCCCCAAAAATAAACAGCCTTGTGGGGGATACTGTTGGTACTCCTCCAGATTCGCTCTTCAGAGTCAGTATGGCTGTCCTTCTGCTACTGGAGATATCTGTGGATGTATCCATTCCAGACAATTGTCTTAAGTGGTAGGAAACTCATTTTCTCAAAGGTACACCCTTCTGGGAGGGCGGTCTGTGGCCAATGATGGGTCAGTATAGGGATATGGACGTCTAGTCCCCTTATCTCAATTTGGAAAAACTCAGAAGGGCTTATTCTAGCTTCAGAGCTCTTGTAGGATTAGTTGAGGCCTTAGCTGTAACCACATCATGGGTTGGACTCTACTTTTACCTAGTACTCCTGTCCTCACTTTCCCACAGGTACCGCTAGAGAGGACTTCCCGATACAGCTTCGGCATGGAATACTCCATCCCAGAGCCTATTTGCAGAGAAAACAACCTAAGATACTACTGCTCCTTCATTATTTCCTATCTTACTAATGCACCAATATTTATCCTGCTGCCTGAACCAGACAATTAGGGATGTTTTCTACTTCTCTCCCACACAAAGAGGTCAATGTGCATTGATCTCTCCTTTCTATCCTTCTGACCATTGCCCCGGTTGATCTGTCTCTTTCTTGGAAAATTACAACAGCCTCATAACTTGCTTCCTCACAGCAACCATCATAATATTTCTAGAATTAAACAAATAATATCATTTATAATCCTTCCTCTTATATAAAAATCTCTCAGCATAAAATCCAGATTTCTTAAGACACCATATAACACCTATTTGGTTCATTCAGCACCAGGCTTACCTCTCTCAGAGGAGTTATTTCATTGTGTTGCCACAGGTTAGCAGGTTTTCTCCATATGAAAAGTGGCCTCTTTGACGCTGAGAATGTGTTTTTGTATCTCAGCATTCCTAGAGCCTTGTCCAAAGGGTAGCATCTAGTAGGAATGTGAATGGAAGTTTCCTGCAGACATCTACTCTGTCCCTCTGTGTGGGCTATTCCTCCCATCCAACCCATTCTAAATTCAGGAAATGAAGTGTTTTCACTGTTTGCTTATGTGTTTAACCTGTCATTTACCTTTACTTCTTAAGAACAACCATTTAAACTTGAGGGCATGATGATCCATTAGGAATTTGCTGGGGTGACTGGGCAGCCAGGATTTATAGCATTCTGTCGCTGTGATTCTTTTTATGCATCCTGTAAATTTTGGTTATAGCTACACTTGTCTGTGGCCAGTGTGGACAAGGCTGGCTCCTTTTTGTAATTTCATAATCGCAATAAGATCATAAATCTCAAGCTGCCTTTTCTGTCTCTCCTTTTTTTCTTTTTTTGGTAGCCTATTGCCTGAAGCAAGACAATGGACTTTCAAAGGAAAATGTTGTCATTAACAGATAGCCACTCTCAATGAGTCAGGCAGTGCTGTTTCAAGGATATGTGAAGTTCATCCCCATCTCTTGACTAAAGGCTCAGTATTAAAAACTTGTGAGGATTTTCTCTGTGACCAAGTGATCCCATCTTTGCAGAGCTGAAGGACAGGTGTGCAGATATGAGTATCCAGATGTTGGTGTCATCCTTATGCCTCACCCAGGTGGTCACTAATCTTTAGGAGAACAATACAAGTAGTTTGACAATGTGGAAATTTGTTCAGCCTTCCTGGATGTAGTAACTACCTTTTATGTCACTATTACGTTAAGTCTGTCCAAATGGCTCTGTCTGTGTTGTCCAAAAAAAATTATTCTTGAAGATTGGGATTTTTAAAAGTAAACACAGTATCTTAGAACAGATACATTTACTGAAAAACAGTGGAACAAAAATGCAAAGAGTTTCCATATCCTCTATACTCAGTTTTCCTCATTAACACGTTAGTATGATATATTTGTTACAAATAAATAACCAATATTGATACATAATTACCAACATCCAATAATTTATTTATCTTTTCTTAGTTCTTTTTAACCTAATATCATTTTGTGTTCTAGGATCCCATTTGGGATACCAATTTATATTTGATTGTCATGTCTCCTGAGGCTCCTCTTGGTGGTGACAGTGTCCTAGACTTTCCTTGATTTTGATGACCTGGACAGTTTTGAGGAGTACTGGTAAGTTATTTTGTGGAATTTCCTCATTTGGGATTTGTCTGATGTTTTTCTCATGATGTGACTGGGATTATAGATGTTTGGGAACAAGACCATGCGGGTAGAGTGACATTATCATCACATAATATCAAAAGTATGCGTACTTAACATGGTGTCGCTATTGATGTCAACATTGATCACCAGGCCAAGACAGTGTTTATAGGATTTTTTCATAGTAAAGTTATCCTTTTCTCTTCCTTTTCATGCTATACATTTTGGAAGAGAGTTACTATGCACAGTCCACACATAAGGAAAGGAAAATTAATCTCTACCTCCTTGAGGGACAAGTATCTGCATAAATTATTTGGAACTCTTCTGCAGAGAGATTTGTCTTTTGTCCTCCATTTATTTATTTAGTCAACCCTTTACTTATATCAATATGGACTAGTAGATACTATATTTGGGGTTATAATCTAATATTACTTTATTTTGTTGCTTAAATTGTCTCAGACCTGGCCACTGGGAGCTTTTTCAGTTGACTACTTTGTCTCTTTAACATACCCCCACCATTGTGGGGATGCTTTGTTTGTTTGTTGGAGTATTTCCTTACTTGCGGGTCTTCAAGAGATATATGTATATGTGTATATTATATATATATATATATATATATATAATTACAAGATATATAGAGTATAATATATGTAGTATAATGAAATATATAATAGAACATATATAATATATTCTTACATATATAATCTTATATATTATATATAAAATATATAATATAGCATGCATATGTGTGTGTATATATATATATACATGTATATATACATAGCATTTAACATGCCTTTTAAGTTTTTGCTGAAAGCATTATACATCGGGTAATGGGAACTGAAGTAAATAGGCCTTTTGTGTAAGGTTTTATGTTAATCTGGCTAGGAATTGTATTGTGTTTAATATTTGCTGTAGCTATATCATTTTGATCTTCCCTGTTGACTTTGGGCTTTCATAAGTGCTCCTCCTCAGAGTCCGCATCTTGCAGCTCTTTCTGCTGAAATCCACTGTTACTACACTGGAGTGCTGTTGGCGTTGTGGTAGATGTGGTGGAATGGAAGTGTCCTATAACCTTATGATTAAATCTCAATTTTTCAGTGAATTCAGTCTTCCTGTGTCCCTGGACTATGACCTTCATAATGTTTCTTAGCTTTTCTTTTTCCCTTTAGATGGGACCAGAAGGCTTGTAGGGGCTGGAGTGGGAGGAACATTCCTCGCCTAGCTGGGATGAGGCTCTGGCAGTCTTTTTTTCTGCAGAGGCTGTCTTCTTATGGAGAATGGTCTGGGCATATTTCACAGATTACCCTACTTCCACCTCCTGCACCAGAACCTTGAGGGGATCTTTCTTGAATCTTTACCCTGAGAGCTTTGTGCAGTTCTTGAGGTAAAACACACCAAAGTGTAGGGTCTACCCTAAGATTGCAGCCCTAGAAACTTTTCATTCCCAAATCCAGCACATACTCAGTTTCCAGCAGTTTTTCCAAATGCGCATTTAAGTGTTTCCACCAGTTTAGGGCTCCAGCAACTTCTGCTCCAAGTAAATAGATCTTGGCTGAGGTTCTCTGGATGTGTCCTGTCTCTCCTGATTTTGGTGTGGTAGAGTGCCCTATGAATGACCTGAATTCTCAATGGCTCTGAGAAAAGTCTTTGCTTTAGTTTATTCACCTTTTCCTTATAAGGACTGGATTGATGACTTCTAAGCTCTTTACATCAGAGGTGAAACAAGAAGCCAAAATTGGGATTTTAAGCAGAATATAAGGAGAGTCAGCATGACCCTAAACAACATGATGTCACCTCCATGATTCTTAATTATACAGTCAGCCTCATATTAAGCACCTGTGCATTGGCGTTTGCACATCCCCCCCTACACACACACACACACACACAACATCACTCAACTCTATGAAAGACATTTGTTAAGTGAGTACCAGAGACTTTAGAATCTTTCAGTGGGTATATTTTCCTTTATTCATCTTGGACACAAATTTACTCTTGGTTATTTTTTAATGGTTAAACAGATGTAAAATGTGCTTTCAAAATGTGTTTATTAAATGAACAAAAGTCTTTAGTAATTACATAATGATAAAATGAAATACAATGTGAGGGAAAAAACTTTGATTTTATATATAAATTGTAACCAGTAGGGGATTTTGAAAGTCAAAATTAAGATTGATCATTATTACCACTTCCCTGAAAATGTTGCCATACCAAAGAAAAATACAGAATTGCAGGGTTGGAAATAACTGAAATCACCATAATTTCCTGTCTCTGTGTTAAACAATATTGAGACTGGGATATTTTTCTCTATATATATTAAATAGTACTGAAAACAAGCAAAAAAACTTAGCTACTTGCTCCAGAAAAATACTTCTTCCAGGAGAATAAGACTGTGAGCAACCAAAGTTACCTAAATGTCATGACTAATAGCATGCTTATCAACTCTCTCAAGACCCTCACAGGCTTTGCTCAGGAATTCACAGCTATGCCATAAATTCTACCCAGTCTCAATCATCCCCCTACCTTCGAAAAACCACCTTAAAATTGATCCACCCAGCCTAGAATCTTATACGTATCTTTCCTTTATTTCTCCCTACTTAGATGGTATTAAGACCTGTGAGGGTACGTGTTCTACTTTCCTCAAATAAGTCTAGTAATCTTACCTTTGCTCTATCAACAGGTTTTTCTAATCATCTTTTAGGGAACTAATAGGTGATAAAAGGAGCTGGAAAGGATAATTGAATGTACTACTTTGGGAAGCCTTTAATATGGTTTACATTGTAGAGTCTAATATAGCTCTTGCATTTCAAAAAATTATGCCTACACCCTCTCCAGTAATGAGAAACTTATTAAAATTATTTTTCTTTATTTTTTCCTTAGATCTATCAGAAAGTTCCCCCTTATTTTGGTGAAATTCCATCTCCTTTTTACATTAACTACTGGAAAGCTCATGACAGGCTTGTGAATGCACTATGATTTGTGATTTTTGTATGCACCTTCCAGAAACACAATTGCAATAACTCTTCACTTGAGAAACTTAAAGAGGAAGGGAACTTAATGACTGTTGTAATATATTTTTAAATAGATTATAGCTCCTTAAAGACCTCAATTTGACAACAAAATTCTTTTAACAAAATCTAAGGAAATACTTAGTGATGGGATTTATTGTTAAAGATCTAAATTCTAGTGACAGCCATTCTAAAAAATCATTTGAGATCATTGTAAATTAAATAAGCAAACCATGGTCGAGGACTGGTAAAAGCTGCTCCAATTCTCCACTTACTTTTTCCTCTGTCACTTCTTCCCAAATACACATGATACAGAGAGCTTGGGAAATGATTTTCATGTCAGTGAATAATTGTATAGTCTTATGGGATGGTGAATAAATCATTTTCTTAAGCTGGCTAAATTGTGCTATGCCATTGATCAATAGTGTCTGCATGTCTTCCTTCCTTCCTTCCTTCCTTCCTTCCTCTTTCTTTCTTTCTTCCTTTCTCTCTTTCTTTCTTTCTTTCTTTCTTTCTTTCTTTCTTTCTTTCTTTCTTTCTTTCTTTCTTTCTTTCTTTCCTTCCTTCCTTCCTTCCTTCCTTCCTTCCTTCCTTCCTTCCTTCCTTTCTTTCTTTCTTTCTTTCTTTCTTTCTTTCTTTCTTTCTTTCTTTCTTTCTTTCTTCTTTCTTTCTTCTTTCTTTCTTCTTTCTTCTTTCTTTCTTATTGCATTACTGCAGGGGAGCAAAACTTGCCACCTTAAAATGTGTCTCTTTGGCATGTGGATTACTTAAGGCTGATTGTTGTTAAGAAACAGAAGGCTCAGGAAGAGCTTCTGACCTCCCTAACTACCTTATAGAATTTAGATGAAGGACCTGCTCCAGGAAGAGAGCTCTCACCATAGATAACTATAGCATAATATGAACATCATATGAGTAGACAGGGAGAAACTTACCAAAGACTGTTTGTTTAAATTCCCCTCTATGTCCCATTGCTTCTGTATGGCCCAGCAAACATTACCAGATATTTACTCCTTTTCATCTTCTTATGAATTGTCTTTCTTCTCTTTTGAGTCCAGGACACCACCCCCTTCTCCTTATCTCTGATGGTTTATAAGCCTTAATTGCCTGCCTGCCTGTGGGCCTCATATTCTTATGGATTCCGTGTACATACATAATTAAAATTGATTTTCTCCTGTTTATCTGTCTTATATCAATTTAATTCTTAAGAGCAGCCAAAAGAATTTTAAGGGGTAGAGGAAAAATTCCCCCCAACAATAAAATATACATAGTTTTGTGTATGCATTTCTAAATTTTTAAAAAGGGCTTATTAGTTCAAGATATTTTGAGGTATTCTGGACTTGGCCAATATCTAGCTGCTTGGGTCATTGTCAAGTAGCTGGCCAAAGTGAGCATGATCAGAGGAAATTCTGGGAAGAATCGCTGTTTACTTCTCCACACACACCAGGTAGTATACCAGTTTGCATGGTGTGCCCACCTCCTTAATGTGCATTGCCCCATCTGCCATAGTCAAAATCTCATGGTATTTCTACTTACAGGCTTGTGGGGTAGGGCAACATTCATTCCAGAGGAATGAGAGAAGTACTGATCAAACTGTGCCCTGGGCTTTCAGTGAAGAAAGAACTGGGCTTTCAAGAGCAGACCAGGAGTGGGAACCTCAGAGACCATGACACTTCCTTCAGCCAAAGAAATTCAGCACCTTTTATTTTATTTATTTATTTATTTATTTAAATATAATAACAGTTATGCAGAAAATTTCATTTGAAAAAAAGGAGGGCGCCTGGGTGGCTCAGTTGGTTAAGCGACTGCATTCGGCTCAGGTCATGATCCTGGAGTCCCTGGATGAGTCCCGCATCGGGCTCCCTGCTCGGCAGGGGGGTCTGCTCCTCCCTCTGACCCTCCCCCCTCTCATGTGCTCTCTCTCTCTCATTCTCTCTGTCTCAAATAAATAAATAAATAAATAAATAA